GGGGAAGGGTTCAAGGGCTGTTGATCGCAAAGATTATGGTCGTAATCGGTTTCGCGGCGCGGGAGAGGGATATTGATCGCTTCTCACGCTAGAAACGCGTACGCAGGTGACATCATACGAGGTTTTAATCCACACACACACACACCACACGATGTTGCGCTATTTCTCTTCAGCGCAAACATTTATTTGTCTACATAAGTATTGATTTGCCAAGTAACCCTGGTTTGTATCACGTGTATGACTTTACTTTTTTTCTTTTGGCTCTGTTTACTATATAGCGTATCAGATCAATTATCTCAGAAAAGAATGGCAGGCCACGCCCCCAACCTGCCGAAACCGGGTATAAAGAAAAATGGTTAAGGGTCTGAGAGAAGTACGTCTGCGAGACCTTTACTTTGAACCCTTAGGAAGTGCCATGTGTATAAACAAGTATTATAATCTTTTAATGGAACCCAAGGGAAAAAGAAAAGAAAAACTTGCTTAAGGATTTATCTTGTAAATTTTTACTCTTTGATATATTATGTGCATGTCGGCGAAAATACATTACGAAAGTGTGAGTAAGTTCACACAAGAAAACCCATGTTGAAATCCCAATCTTCCCTTTTTTTCTCCAACCTACTATACCATCTCATTCAATTCGTTAAATAAAAAAAAAACTGCACCTCAATCCAACCAATTCCCTCCTCCCCCCTCGCCAATCGTCATATCAATACCCTTCCCCATCTTTATTTTTCCTACTAGCCTGTTCCTGACGATCACATGCATGTAGTAGGTGGTGGGTTTTGGAGAAAGGCAGGCGCTTATGCAGCCCCATCTTCCCCGTTTCCCCCCCCCACTACCGCCACCCGCAAGCACGTAATAACCAACAACCATACTTTCATCATTTACTCTAAAAAAAATTCCACGGCTTAACAATGTACACAGCTACAAGTCCCTTAGGGGGGGGGGGTCCCGGTCGATACAACATTGCCGTTAAAATCACGATTGATATCTTATTTTATTCTGTTTTGATTTTAATAATTAATTAGTTAATATCAAACATATTTAATAACAACTAATCCTCTCACAGCACAAAAAAAAAGTCAAGTGTGTGACACAGCCTACTATAATTTACTCTAGACCCGTAATCACAGTGCAACAACGAGTTTATTCGTTTTTGCTGTTTTAACGGAAATAATACAACATCGACCTCTCTCTCATAACCGTAATCTCATATTTCACGTGACAAAAAAACCTCTTGGCATTACGACACTCGTGCGATTGTTTTCTGATACTGTAGAAGAAAGAAGCCCCAGTCTTAGCATGAAAGCGTGTTGAAATTTTTTAAAAAAAAAACAGTGGCATACAAAGGTAAGGAAAAAAAAACCTTTTTTTTGCGCGTATGCACTTGTTTTACTGTGATTAACAAAATCTTTTATTTCCACGTGAAACATTATGCGGTGGTGACGCGACACAAAAAAAAGCCGTCAAGCGCAAGCAAGAAAAACACAACCTAGAGGGCGACGAGGAGGATGCAATTTCGGAAGGTTCTTTGCTTTGCTTCTATTTATTCCTCGCCAGCAAAAACGGCATGAATTTTTTGTTTGGCATGGGAGGCGGAAAATAGGCCAAAAAGTTGCCAAGTCACGCGCAAAAAAAGGTATGTTCTATCTTTTTCCAGTGAAGACGCCACTAAAATCGTAAAAAAGACAACAGGCGCCACCACAAAGTGTATATGATAGATTGTGCAATATGTTTACTCTGGCAGGTCAACGACACATGAAGGGCCATGGAAGAAATATGGCCCTCAAGCAACCGGGGAAACGGACTATCGACCTGCGCCGCATAACAAGAGAAAGCTTGTACGTAGGGATGTCGAGTTTTTATTCTCGGTGCGACGACTAGCGCCGGCGGTCGAGTTTCTCCGATATACGCTCACACGTGATGGTCGGGTAAATTGCGGGCCAAGCGGGAGAGGACGGTCAAAATTCTTTCGTGTGGCTTGGCTTCCTTCCCTTCTTCTTCTTTTTTTTTCCATGGCCGTTGATGATATCTCATATCAAGATAGGAAGAGTAAGACGTAGCCAAATGGCCGCGACTGATTACAACTCATCACCACCTTCTGAGGCCTGTCTCCGACCCCGTCCCGTTGTCTTGTCTGTGTGGCTCCGAGTGCCGACGCGGTTGTTACAGGAGCTGTTGATGCGGAAGCTAGACGCGACCGTTAACTGACACCTGTATGTTTCGCGCATTTGACGGGATGCGCAGGCCTGTGAAACGGACTGGGTGCCAGGCATTCATGGGCGACTTCGCAATGGCGGCTGTTGCTGCTTCAGACAGATGGCCTTTAACCATTGCATGTTTCAGCGAGGATGAACAGCCTGGGAGACCCACGACCATGGGCGCACGTAGCGGAGCATTATTATCCTATTCTTGCTTCTCCAAATTCATGCCTCGACGTGTTTCCGACACAATGGATTTCTTCTGCCCGCCGTATTATGTAACTTGCCAACTTGGATACGCTGTGCGTGGCTACAGGCCGCCCTGGCGTCTCGTTTCCTGTCGGCTATGTGCTCTACTCTTGTAAGTACGATCTCGGCTCTTGCCCTGCGCACTTTGCAGTCGCACGGCTATTCGGTGTCTGAGCGTCACGGGCCAAGCTCGTCCGACACCGACAGACGGCACTTTGCGGTGTTATGCCGCGGACTGCTCACCGACTCGAAATTTGATCGAGCTTGTCCCGGGATCTTGTTCAGTGTGCTCGTAAAAGAGATTCCAGACCGTTTGATACCTTCCTCATACAACACCCACGCAGAAAAGCAGCCGGTCGTGAATCATGGGTGCTACCTGTATCAGTACGACGATAATGTAGTCGTGCTGGATGGGCGTCGGCTGCCTACTGCCTGGCAATTTGAAATAGCCACTACTTTTTACGTCAATGGACGACGTCACTGCCGCCCCGTATCCAGCATTCACGATACCACATACGTAGTCTGCGTACTACTGTTACATGCCAAATCGAACTCTGTAGGCTCATCACATTTGTTTAGTTGGCCGAGGAGAGCACAAAACTGGATGCGGCTGCGTCGATATGCGTTCATTGGAATTGCGATCGTCGACCCTGTCATGCTCGTCTGCCCAAGATCTGCACTTGGATCGGCGACTTTAGCTGTAACCACCTGTTGGCTCCTCTGAGAAAGCACAGTTGCTAGCCGTCTACGGACGGTTTGGCCCGCAGCGTTTGCAGGTTGCAAGAGAGACCCTGGGATGGAACAAGCAAGCAAGCAAGCAACAGTGCTGCAGCTGCAGCTGAATGCTGATGCTGCGACGCCCCCAGTCACCTTGTTGAGCCCATTTTCTGGCTGGTACGAGTCACAGTTTACAAATGTCGAATCACAGGCGTGCGGAGGGCTGGCAGAGATTTGGATGACCAGCCAAGACGCGACTTACCAAAGATTTGCATAGTAGAGACGCCATTGGAGACTTTGGGCAATGGATTACGCGGGCAGTGTCGTTCCGAAGAACTATGTCGAGGCTAAGCCCAGATGGACACTGGTTTCGCCGTGGGCTTATCATAGAGTGACCATGGCGACAGATGCCCACGTGTCTGTGTTGCAAGATGCAGGCGCAGGCTACATGGACCTCGACCGCCTGTTCGTATGTGCTGAACTTGGTCAGGCCGGCCGGACCGGCAGTGGCCACGACGGCTCCAGAACGCGGGCCTTGTGCAAGTTCCACTTGCCGTGTGGCCCAGACGAGACATGTGTCTGTCACCGATGTCTTGCGTATCAGACATTGGTCTTTGGCATGCCTGAGCTGCGTTTTACACCAAGCGTCTTTTGCTGGGCCTACCATGACACGACACTGCATAGCACTTTTGCATGCATTCAGCACTGAGCACCCAGCAGCAGCAAATTGTGGGGAAGGCACATATTCCAGAAGCACCAACGCCGGGGACCAGTCAGACGGCACCCACACGGAGCGAGGGAAGGAGATTGCAGAAGACCCTAGACCCTGCGCTCAGCATAACGCGAATTTCGTTTGAAAGGCAGGTTCTCGAGGCTCGTGCTCGACAGACCTGGACAGTCGGACAGGTCGAATCTGCGATCTGCCCGCCTGGCAGCTGCCTGATTGGGACCAAATGGCCGTTTTGTCACTGCGGCGGACTTGGGGGCAATGGCATCATCATCATCTTTGCCCGCGTTTCACAACGTCAGCAACAAGCAGGTGGAGCAAGAAAGAGTGGGAATGGGTTGCGTCGAGTTTGGTGGGCTTGGAGACGTTCAGCGTCTGGGCGACAGTTGACGTCCGTCATAGCTGCCGATAGTCGGGCAGAGGCCACAGACGGACGACACGGTGCGGGCTGAGGTGCAGGTGTAGGCGTGAGGCACAGAGTCAGGCCATGAGTTTGCGGCGGTCGCGCAATGCAGGCGTGAATAGTTAGTAGCAGGCGCGTCTTTCGCGGAGGCGGATGGATGGTCGCGTTGGGTTGGGGGCGCGGCATGGCGGACAAACGCGATCAGACGAGTGGCACAGGTGTCGGTGGACAAAGTTGATGGTCAAGCCGGGTGTCATGGCATTGCATCCGAAGGGCATTTGAGCGAGTCAAAGGCAGCCCTAGCGACGATGGGCCTAGTCCAAACCATGGGTGAGGGAGGGCGAGCGAGGGAGCGGCATGGAAGCCACGACCCCGCCAGACTGGAAACCTTCCTGGAATGGTCGAAGATCAGGGCCTTGGGCGAGCCAGCCAATTGCCAGGCCGGAGCCGGCGGCTTGGTGGAGGTGGTGGAGGGCGTGGTGGAGAGAGAGGGCTTGGTGGGCGAGGTGGGCCGAAGCTATGGAAGCCACGACGACTTCCCCGGCGCCGAAGCAGTGGCAGGACCACGCACGACCACCAACGCATCCACTCGCACCCTCGCACCCGTACGCTCGACCGCCGCAGAGACGATAGTAGAGAGGCAGAGGCCCTTTGTCAGCCAGGCGTGAATCGCATCGGGACCCTGTCGAGTCGTAACACGGCCCCGCTGCGGTGGCCTTCTAGAAATTGCACACGCCCTCGCCCTCGCATGTGAAGCCGCTGACAGGCGAGGCAGCGTAAGTGGCCGGCGGCGGGCGAGGGTAGAGGATAGCGGTCAGAGAGAGGCGGGGGCGGAAGGATGGCATGGCCTGGGGGGGTTGTCGATAAGACGGTGTGGTGGTGTGGGATGTATGGGAAGGGTATACTTTAGTAGGGTAGGGTAGGGCAGTAGTGTATGTTGGATGTAAGGTGGTAGAGTAAGGTGAGGTGCAGGCTAGTATGGGTAGAGTAAGTAGTGTGTAGTAGGCGTATGTCGACGGGTACAGAGATGGGATAGAGAGATATGGTGCAGTCGTTTGTTCCTGCATCGTTCCTGCAGTAGACGCGCCTCTGGATCAATCAGCTGTGCGGCCAATGTGGGGGAAGACGGCCTGGCGGATCCCATCGGGCCTGTTCGACTCGACCACCGCCGCCTGTCCCGCTCCTCTGCTCCCGCCGCTTTAACACACACACGCCCATTTAGGCCTCGCCGGCGGCTTCACAACTCTGCATCCGCTGCATTCAATAGCTCGCTGCTATTTTGTGCCGCCAGTTGCACACCCACCCCGGCCTGCACAACTCTTCCGTTTACCGCCATTGTGTGTGTGTGTGTGTTGGTGTCGAGGCTGGATGGATGGGCGACGGTCAGCATCACGAGCGGCGGCCAACCACGCCCGCCCGCCCGTTGGCCCTCCATAGATAGAACACTGTCCATGGGAGCACCCTACACCTACCGTGGCATCGCAATTCCCGCATGCTATGCCATGTTGGCTACCATTGCTGCTGCTGCTGCTATTACAAGTACTTACTCGGCCGCCGGCCATGTGGCAAACCAGGCTCTGAAACAGACTTGCACCATGGATTCAGGCCGTAAGTGCAAGCCTGGCTATATGCCCATCCATCCCATCCACGTCCCCATCCCACTCGACCCTCCATGTCGTCGTAGGGCTCTGGCAGTGGGCACAGTAGGATGGAAAAAGAACGGTACTGGTGGCGACGTGCAGCTCGCCGCACACGAGCATGTCGCACCATGGGCCGCTGGCCGTCTTCGTAGCCACTGGGAGACGGCGCTGCCCGGCTGCTCCAGCTGGCAGGGCGATGCAGGCCTCTTGCTCTTGCATCATGGCTGACGTTCCTGCGTGAGCCCGGCACGCCGAGTCTTTTTTTTTGCTCCAGTGTGTCGCGCGACGCCTGTGGCAATGATTGATGCAGACATGCCTTGACCTGGTGTGGCTAACGGACGGCAAGCATGGCGCGCTGCAGTTGAATGACTTTGACCTCGCATTCTCTTCGTTTGGTCGTGAGACATGGCTACCACACTCTCTGCTCGACGGCCCAACATGTTAGGGAAAGCATAGCGGAGCGTCTTGCTTTCCTCCTCGCCGCCGCCGCCCTCGTCGCTTTTTTTTCTTTCTTTGCATGACGCCCCCCCATGTCCCAAGTGCAGTCCCAAGTCAGTCCCAAGTCAGTCCCAAGTCAGTCCCAAGTCAGTCCCAGGCCAGTCCCCAGGCCCAAGGCGGGCGTGGTGGTCAGCGAGCGACAAACGACATGGGCACCGCGTTACATTTGCTTCTGCAAGTGGTCGACGACGGTGATACTGCGGGCGATACGGCGTTGTTTGGTGTGACAGACACGGTAGAGGGGCGCGCGCGGCGTTATCACAATCACCCAGCAATCGTCATCCGCAGCGGAAGGGCCGTAACGCTGAGTGGACGTTTCAAAACACTGGGTGCCAGGGTCTGGCAGTTATCATTATCGATTGGCAGATAGCAGGATAGCCTGAATGAAACCCGGCAGCACGCTAATCTCGAGGCGAGTTGGAGTCGTGTGAGAGGGCATGCCTGTGGTTCTGGTTAGGTTAGACACACACACACACTGTCACCCGCCCGCCGCCTATTACACCATACCCACCACCCTCTTCGTCTTTGCTCCCCCAGCACCAGCACCAGCACCAGCGGCAGCGGCAGTCTCAGCATCGTCTCCACTCGCCATGACTGGCCGTTGTCGCCTCACACACACACACACACACACACATTGCAGACTACAGACTACACTACTACATCACGCACACGCACACTCACCCACTCCTAGCCGTGCCGCTGCTACTGCAAACAAAACCCTCCGTCGCCTCTTCTTCAGCTTGGGTGGCTTCGCCATCCGGACTGGGCGGCGGTACGGTCAGTGGCTACGTATGCCTGGTAGGCCGACCCTCCATCCCATCCCACCTGGGCTGGCCGCCAGCCAATACCTGCACGCCTGCCGGCGCCGCCGTGCACATCTCATTTCGCCTATAGCCCCGTGCAGCTATGCATTGGGCGAATAATTTTAGGCCCCAAACCCTGGCCGCAATGCACTCGCTGCTTTTGACGCGAGTCAGAGCGAGGGTCTAACGCAGGATCCCATTCCTAGCTGGCATGTGGAGCACGCTGCGCCCCGACGCACTAAAGCGAGCCGTCCTGGAGCGTGTGCGCATCAGTTCTCTTTTTCACTGGTCTGCCCTGGTCCAAGGTTCATCAACCACGTCCCTCTCGTTTCTTTCCGCCATCGCTGTTCACCATTTCATCTTGGGTCATAATTTTGTGCCCTCACACTCTTTGATCTACAATATCTATTAAGTGACGGTCTCGTTATTGCGAAACCGCTCCCCAGTCATTCCTTCCACTCCCTCTCTCTACTACTACTACTACCACTACTACTCTCTCTTCAACACCCTACATACTACTAATAACCACGTCCTTCCATCTTCACTCGGTACTACACACAATCCCTCATCCATCCAACCAACTATCGGACTGAAGCAACGACACACACCTACTCTACTCACAACTACACCACCTTTCCACAACACCCATCTGCAATGGATGGTTCATACCCTATTCACCCTACCCAAGCTATGCAATCACCATTCTTCTACTACAACCCAGATCCTCAAGGCGAGAACAACCGCCAGCACGGCCACTTCACACCACACCCTTCAGGACAATCAACTTTCCAGCCACACAACATGTACTACCAGAGGCCCACATCAGCAAACTCACAAATGTCCTACCCTCAGACTGCCTACGCCAGCCAAATGATGACTCCAGTCGCGTCGCCACAGCCAATGTACCAGAAGCCAGCCATCCTCATCCAACCTCAGGATTCCCCCTACCTTCACCCCATTGACACCGACTACTCTTTCTCGCCTGCTACTCCTCCTCTGTCATCATGCGGCAGCAGCACCAGCAGCCCTTCCTCATACGACATCCTCCCCACTCCTCTCCACGACATGTTCCCCGGTGAGGGCATGGAGGGTGTAAAGCAGGGCTGTGAGGGTGAGGTCTTTTCTGAGATCCTTTCGGCCGGCCTCGAGTGGCGTTCAACCACCCCACCAATGACACCAGGTAAGTTTGCTCACTGCTGAAAAAAAAACCGTCATGGTTGCGTGGCTTGTTATCCGCAATTAACCGGGTGAAATGTGTGTATGTGTGTGTGAATGGCCTCGCTAACTTTTGCTCAAGTATACATCCAGCCTCCTTCAGTCAACCAGGGTTCATACCTTCTTTCCGCTACTTCTTGCCCATCTCTTTCCCCATCTCCTTCACCTCTTCCCCGCGCTACCGTCGCCGAGGCTGAGAACAACTTCTGCAACCCCCGCGATCTTACCGTCTCGGCTGCTTCTGAACTCCCCATCGTCACCCTCTGCCCTGGTGACGAGGAGCACAAGGTTGTTTTCAAGGGTGAGGCTGCCAAGGTTGACAACATTGAGTCCGTGCAGGCCTTCAGCTTCAACGGCCTTCCCACCTTTGAGCCCTTGTTTGAGCTCGACTGCGAAGACGACTTCAACGGCCTTGTCAACTTCTCCACCGACAACACCCAGTTCCTCGGTAACAAGCGCCAGCGCACTGACCTTGGTGCCTTCTCTCCCGAGGACGACTTCCTGAGCGACGAGAGCTTCACCGACTTCGAGGAGGAGCTTGTCCACAGCCTGCCTCTCACCCCCGCCGCTAGCGAGTTTGACACCATGTCCGCAGTCAAGAGGCAAACTGTCAAGAAGGCCCGCTCCGCCTTCAGCGAGACCGAGTCTGACTTCCAGGGTAAGCAACAGACATCAGGTGATGAGCACACCGTGTCTGGAGCCTCAAGCCAACAAGAATCAGGTCAAGCCGAGAACGCCGTCGCCTCCAGCTCTGACGAGAACACCACTCCTGTCGCTCCCACTAGCCGTCGCGGTCGCAAGCAGTCGCTCACTGACGACCCGTCCAAGACATTCGTCTGCACTCTCTGCTCTCGCCGCTTCCGCCGCCAGGAACACCTCAAGCGCCACTACCGCTCTCTCCACACTCACGACAAGCCCTTTGAGTGCACTGACTGCGGTAAGAAGTTCTCCAGGAGCGACAACCTCTCCCAGCACCAGCGCACCCACGGAACTGGCGCTGTCAGCCTTGAGGTCATGGGCTCCGACTTCCACCACGCCGACATGCAACACGGCCAAGGTAGCGCGTTTGGTGCACAGGCTCCTTCCACCATGGGTGAGATCCTCTACAACGCCGCTGCAGAGATCCCCACGTCAAGCTCCGACGGATCCGAGCACGAGTCAACACCCAGTCAGAAGAAGCGCAAGAGGAACGAGTAGGCATTTGTTTTTGTCGCGTTTCCTGCCTTTCAACATTTAACGACCCTTCATGACATTCACAACACTTGGTAGAAGAAACTTGCATTACGCGAGGCGACTGCTAGTCTTCCTTGACGTCGATACGCAAAGGCGCCATTGCTAGACAGGCGGCGAAGGTTTCGCACTTGAGCGGTCTGAAGCAATTCAGACCCACACAAGAGTCCCTTGCTTCACTTCACCTCTTGTATTCTACGCGTCCGATCTTGGTGGCACACACACACACTTTGATATTAGCCTCTTTTTTCACACTTCATTTTGCGCGTCGGTTTGGTACGTTTCTTCGGGGTTCTGGAGCGAGGAGACTGGAGGCAAACCATGGGAAGAAACGGGATTAGATTTGGTTTTTTTTCTCTCTCTTCCTTCTTCATTTTCCTTTTCGCTTGGGTGTTCTTTTTTTCCTCATGACGACATGGCCAATTACCCTACTCACCACCGGCCACTTGTCGCCGCGTTGCCCTCAATTGTTCATCATCACTCGTTGTAATTGGGGCTTTGTCGGTGTGGGATCTATCTTCCCTCCCGACATTTGCCACCTCTAACATTCTGGGAATCTTCGCTTCTTTTCTTCTTCAAACCATACACACATGTAATCGTCTGAACTGCTCAGCACAAACACCACACACACACCCCTACTACCTACACCCCCCTTATTAAAGCTCTATCGTAGCCCCAATTGTAGGTTAACGGTGCTGGCACTGTCCGACTATCATACATAGCAAAAAATGCGTTACACCGACACTTTCGGCCTCTATCTTTTTCTCTTACTTTTTCCAAACGCCTTGCATGTGAACTGGAGTGAAGCCGCGTAATGCATAAAGTTGAGTGCTTGCCATTTCTTTTTCCGCCCTAGGTCTTAGGTGATCAGTTCGGTGGCCGGGGGAAGGAGGGGCGATTGGATTGTTCCTGAGCATGAACTTACCAGTTACATGTAAGTAGTAGTCAGCCTGTCAGCAGTGCAGGCGTTCCTTATTTTGGAAAACATTCATGCCGTTCTAGCGTGCGGGCGGCGCGCAACTTTAGCGAGTAATACCACTTCCAACCTGCATTTACACTTCGACTGCATCGGGCCGCCTCAACGCACCCTTCCACCCAGCGTCCGAGCCTAATCTTTTTTTTTCCCTTCTGTTGCGCCTTTTTTTTTGTTGCTCGTGTGCCCAGCCCAGCCCAGCCCAGCCCGGCAGACGGCGGCAGCGGCTAACCCTTCACTCACCATCTAAGGCGGCGCCATGGCGCAATCTCTAAATGTCATCGCGCTGATCTCGGGAGGCAAAGATTCACTCTTCTCCATACTCCACTGTCAAGTAAACGGCCACCGCGTCGTGGCCCTGGCCAACCTGCACCCGGGGCCCTTGCCCAATGGCGAAGAACAAGACACAAACAGTTACATGTACCAGACGGTCGGACACTCTGTAGTCCCTCTGTACTCGCAAGCACTGGATCTGCCGCTGTACCGCCGACAAATCACGGGCACAGCAGTCGATTCCAGCAGGGATTATGCGGCGCCGTTGCCCTCTTCTTCTTCTTCTCAGCAGACGCATGGTCAAAAACAAAAGTCAGACACTCATCATCAGCAAGAGATAGTAGAGGATGATGATGGGGGTAAGCAGGACGATGAGACAGAAGATCTTATCCCATTGCTCAAACGCGTAATGCAAGCCCATCCAACCGCCAACGCCATATCCACCGGCGCAATCCTAAGCACCTACCAGCGCACGCGCGTGGAATCCGTAGCACTCAGACTTGGCCTCACGCCGCTGGCGTACCTGTGGCAGTACCCGCTGCTCCCGCCGTACGAGCAGTCTGCGCTCTTGCGCGACATGCGTGCCGTTGGGCAACAAGCAATTATCATCAAGACGGCTTCTGGCGGGCTCGACGCGTCTTTTTTGGGGCTGGATGTCGCTGGTGGCCCGGGTGCTGTGGCGCGGTTGAGCAAGGCGATGGGCATGTTTGGGGACGAAGTGGGTGCTGGGGCGATTTTGGGTGAGGGGGGCGAGTTCGAGACGCTCGCGGTGGATGGGCCGGGCCCACTGTGGAAAAAGAAGATTGGGGTTGAGGGCGAGGCGGTAGTGCTGGAGGGGGGACAGACGATGTTTAAGGTGGTGAAGAGTTGGGTGGAGGAGAAGAAGGACATGGGGGATGTAGGTGCGCTGAGGGTGCCCGAGGTGTTTGACGATGAGTTTGCAAAGGTGTTGGAGACGCTGGAGAATTCGAAGTCTGATATGGCGGATGGTACTCGGGAGAGTATTACAACTTCCACTAAGCCATCAACCAACGTCTTCCTCCTCCCTACAAACACCATCCACTCTACCCCCACCCTCCTCACAATCTCCAACCTCACCTCCCCTACCACCAACACCACCACCCCATCAACCTCCTCCCGCCAGCTCACATCTATCCTCCTCCTCCTCTCCCACCACCTCCGCCAGTACCGTGTCCAAAAATGCAACATAACACACACCACCCTCCTCCTCCGCTCCATGTCCCACTTCACAACCTTAAACCCCCTCTACTCCTCCTTCTTCACATCCATCAACCCCCCCTCCCGCGTCACGGTCGCCTGCTCCGACACAATGCCGGAAGGCGTAGACGTGATGCTCAGCGTAATCGCAGAGCGAAGCGAAAAAAGAGAAGGGTTGCACGTGCAAAGTACGAGTTACTGGGCTCCGGCGAATATCGGACCGTACAGCCAAGCTATTTCTGTCCCGCTACCTTCTTCTTCTTCTGTCTCCGGCTCCGGTGTTGTAGGAGACGACGATGGAGAGGAGGAGGATAGAGAAGAAGAAGGCAAGGGAGTAGGCGACATCGTCTACATAGCCGGTCAAATCCCCCTCCACCCCGCCTCAATGTCCCCTTACACCTCGCACGGGTTTACAGGCCAAGTCGCGCTGTCGCTGCAGCATCTGTGGCGCATTGGTGCGGTGAAGGGGGTACGGTGGTGGACTGGCTGTGTCGCCTACATTCCTTCTAGCATCACCTCCTCCTCCTCGTCCGTGGGCTTAATACAGAAAGCATGGCGCACCATCCATCTCGCAAACCAACCCACCACCACCACCACCACCTCCGACAACGAAGAAGAAGACGAAGAAGAAGATATAGACCCCTGGGACGTCCTAAACACTCACCCCACCACTTCCTTCTCCGATAAACTTCTTCGCCGTCGTATACCAGATTACACCGCTCTCCACTCCCCCACCTCCACCTCCTCTTCCTTCTCTTCTAATCAAGCACATGTCCCAATACCACCCTGCTACACAGTCCAAATATCCTCCTTGCCCCGCAACGTAGATATAGAATGGAGCGCCACTGGTCTTACCGCCTCTGGCTTATCTTTTTCAAGGGATTCATCTACAAAAACAACTACCACATCAATCCAAGGCAGCCCGGCGCAGTTTTTCAGCTGTGAAGTAAGCGGGGAAGAGGATGTGGGAATGTTGAAGGAGAGGAAGTGGACGGTTGGTACGCTTTATGTTTCGCGGAGCGCGGGGTTGGGGTGGTTGGGGAGTGTGCTGGAGAAGATGGGAGGAGTGCAGTGGGTTCCTTGTGAGAGGGTGTGGGGGGAGGGGGGAAGGGAGGTTGGTGCTGTGTTTTTGGGGCGGGTTGATGGGGTAGCATGAGTATGATTGAGGAGTGAGGACATGAGGATATGATTGATGAAGTAGATGAGCGAGGATACGATTGATGAAGTAGAACGATTAGAAAAAAAAAGACCGTTAATCATTTCGAATCCATGAATTCCGTTTAGTCATGTCCGCAAAGTGTCTATATCAGACGTTAAAGAACAACCAGCTAAGCTGCCATGCACAACAATCCCATGTTGTGTGTATCGAGTCCTGCACCCAAACGCCGTACGTTTCCCACGTGTATCTGTATACGTGTATGGTATAATACAAAAAGAAGAGAGGTGCTTTTACTTTTGTTTGTTTCATTCATCTCGTGCATGTCATCCATCAAGGGTATCATGTCTAGGCAATGTTCCCGGCGAGGCCGAGAAAGAGGGCTTGAGCTGCGAGTTGCAAAGTCCAGATGCCCACCTTTTTTATTCGCCGCTTGCGTGTAGTCCTGTCTTCGAGGACATCACGGGCAAAGGCATCGTACATCTAAAAAGGTTAGCACATCGTTGGAGTGTCATGCAAGGGATTTCGCCATACCTCTTTCGATACCTCCTCCATCAAGCCGCTGTCGTACAGTGTCCAGCTGCCGTCAAACTCGCTGACCTTTTTGACCACTCTGCAGTTGACTGGAATAAAGCTACGGCTCGAGTTGATGTATGCGACAATGGGTCGCACGAGAGCATTGTTGACGTACGAAATGTCTCTGGTGAAGATGGGGACGGCAGCACGGACGTCGTTGAGGTGGACGCGCATGTCCATGATCATGTAACGCGACTCCTCTCCTTGTTCAGCATCAGAGTTGTCGTCGTGATGGTGTTCATCAAAGCCATGGACGGCATGGTCGGAAAAGTGATGCTTGCGCTGCTGGGTGACGGTGGCTTCGACACGGTCGTACATGTCAGACATGACCTTGGCAATACTGTCATCATTGTCGTTGGGGAACATGACGTCGGCAACAATGTCGACATTTCCTTCATGGATCCAGGAAAACGGGCCCTCATAGCCGCGGTTGAGGTGGTCGATGTTGAGACCGTCGATGCGTATCCGGCTATGCTTCTTCCAGGAGCTGCCATCCTCGGAGGCGCGACCGCTGCTCAATTGAGCGCCCGTGTAGTTGTGGGTTTGTCGGGGGTGAATGGTGAAGAGGGAGTTGTCGAATGATCCAGACATCATGTTTGCAGAGAGAAAGTCGTAAAAGAGCCATTGCTTCCGCAGCCTGGGAAGGTCACAGGAGAAGATGCTGACGGAAAAGGGGCGGAAGCCATTTGGCTGATATACAGTCACCAGCAAATCTTCCATTTTGAACGAGTCGAGCTCAAAGTCTCCAGGTTGGTGCTCGTGCTTGTATGACCTCGGGTCAACGCCTTCGATAGTGCGCACTGAAGTTCGATCGACTACCCCGCGGATGCCCTTGATCTCAACATCCTCCAACAAGCCTTTGCCGTTGAACCACTTGGAAAAGGACAAGGTGATGTTGACAGTGTCGATGGAGATGTCGAACTGGGTGTAGTTTGTATCCTCCTCTGGCTCGGACTTTGCCGGAATCCCGTCATGTGCGTCCTTGCTATGCTGAGCCCGAGCAGCGGCGGCGGCAGCTATCTCCGTATGCGAACCTTTGCTGACCTTTCCTGTGCCTTGTCCGGGACGGCGCGAGACGAAGACATTGCGGAAAGAAATGACGCCGTCTCCCCACTTGGGTACTACGGCAGTCTCGAAGACGACTTTGATGCCCGAAGACTTTGTCAGATAGTTGCCAATCCACTTGCCAACCGTCTCTTGAGAGAAAGCAGTGTTGATGAGGAAGATGGTCAACATGAAGAATGTCGTAGTTCCTAGGATAACCCATAGTACATGGGCGGCAATGACCCACGAGAAGAGGGCGTATATCTCATCGGCATTGAAGGGACGAGTGCTCCGGATGGTGAGCCATTTGAAGTGGATCTTGATGCGCGACCAGAAGCCAGAGGCAGCGGCGAGCAGCTCAGCTTTACTAGGGCGATATATGTGCGGGAGGTGATGGGGCAGGCGGTCGAGGAGGGGCTTTGAGGTGCTTGGAGTGTCGGCTTCCTGCTTTGGCTCTGGCTCTGTCTGTGAGGGCTTGGGCGGCGCATTCGGCTGGGGCGAGAGATTGGCCTGCGGAGCCTGGCCAGACGGACGACGCTTATTGTCGGAGGAGGACGGAGTGAGTGAGCTCTTGCTGCGTCGGTCGCTGCGTGTATTCCTTCTCAGTGCGCGCGAGGCCTTTGAAGAGGCATGCCGGGTCCATGCTGCGAAGACGACCTTGGTGATGCTATGCTGGGCGCTTGGTGTATAGAGTGAATTGACAGCGGGAAAGCAGGCCAGCCATGGCGAGGGCGTTGTGCGAGGGCGTTGGGTCGTGGATGCGGTCGAAAAAGCATGCCGAATGGGAGGGCAGGCAAAGGCAGCGCCCTCTCTCAACAGCGGGCCAGCGACGGGGCGCCACAGCAAGCCGAGCGTTCGCACATGCTTGTTCATGATAAGCGCGGCGGGCACATGGTCGACGTCTGCAGAGTGGGTGGGTGCGGACAGAGGGAGAGGAGGGAGTAAATGGCCTGGCTGGTATGTCACTAAGTGAAGTAGTCGTGACTGTATAAGGCTTCACGTCATTTCATTTGCCCAGGCATTTATTGATTTGCCCGCCCGCACAAGAGAGCGGCGGCAGAGGGACATTCGCCCGCTAGTCCGCTTTCGGCACACCATTCCGTCGCCTCTCCAAATTTCTTGACCAGCCCCACTCGTCGCGCTCGACGACACCAATTGACCAGACACCACCCGTACATACTGCAATATAGAGGGGAGAAACAAAGAAAAAAATATACACAAAATGCCTGCTCCCACCGCCCTCCAGCGCCGCCCCGAAGAACTGGCCGACAATGTCGCCCTCGAAGCCTCGTCCATCTCGCTGCCCACCGAATCCGACGGCGACCTCATCTCCATGAGCATCGACCCCGTTGACGCCCCCAACACAACCTCGGATGCGCCCGAAGAAGACATGCCCATGGTTGACGAGAGCGGAAAGCCCAAGTTCCCCGCCGCCAAGTCGATACCGCTCGCCTTCCGCCGTGAGCAGCGCAAGGTGCCCATTCCGCCGCACAGGATGACTCCGCTCAAGAACTCGTGGCCCAAGATCTACCCACCGCTTGTTGAGCACCTCAAGCTGCAGGTCCGCATGAACACAAAGAGCAAGAGTGTCGAGCTGCGCACCTCGAGCGCCACCACCGATACGGGTGCGCTACAGAAGGGAGAAGATTTGTACGTTGATGTCTTGGGTGGAGCAGCGCTCTACATACACACTACAGGAACATGCTGACTCTCTCCAGCGTCAAGGCTTTTACTCTTGGTTTTGACACAGACGACGCTATCGCGGTATGCACCCACAACCCTATATTCGCACACAGGCGACTAATACCTTTTAGCTGCTCCGACTAGACGATCTGTATATTGAGACATTTGAAATCAAGGACGTAAAATCGCTCTCGGGTGAACATCTCAGCCGCGCCATCGGCCGTATCGCCGGCAAGGATGGCAAGACCAAATTCGCCATTGAAAACGCCAGCAGAACACGAAGTACGTCTTGCTTCCTTTTCGTGATTAGACTCGCCTCTAACAAGCAACAGTTGTTCTCGCAGACCAAAAAATTCACATCCTTGGCGGCTTCAAGAACATCCACATTGCTCGCGAGTCCATTGTCAGCTTGATCCTCGGACAGAACCCCAGCAAAATGTACGGCAACCTGCGGACCATTGCCGGAAGGATGAAGGAGAGGTTTTAGATGCGCAATAGAAGTACTTTCAGAAGAGGGGGAAAAAGCGGCATCAGGCATTTACATGGCGTTAAGGCGAAACGGATCGGGAACAATGGCAGGTAAAACAAATACCATCTGACATGACTTGACGAACGATTGGAAGACGATGGAGCTAGCGACATTTTGCTATCATACGGCTATATACGCAATTTTTTTAAACGATTTCCACACACTTCACTTGTCCTTTTTGTCCACATGATCAAGCCTTGTTCCTCCTCCCCACCATCCCTTTAACTCTCTCAACCCCCTTTCCCAACCCCCCAAACACAGTTGCAAACCCAAAGCTCCAACCCTTAATCCTAACACTCCACACAAAAAAATACACCAACGCCCAATTACTCACGCAAAATGCAGCGAAAATGCCAAAATCCCTCCATTTATCGCCTGCCGATATATTCAGCGACGCAAGATAATCGTCGCCTACACTGTAGGCACAGTACTGGCATTCCGCCGTTGCATTGGGATTAACCAGGTATCCCGGGGCCGTTTCCAAGAAGCGCCTCGCATAGTCCTGGCAGGAGATAGCGTTTGGCGTATCGAACACGGCCGTTTCCTTGTCCGCACACTGGACGGGAACACCCGTCATAGTCGCAGCCAGGACACCTGCAATCCAGTACGTAGCGGGGTTAACATAGTACATCCAGTAGCGCCAGAAGACAGGGATAGCGGCAAACGGGCGTACGACGCCGTTGAAGAGGCCGAACATGACGAAGAAAAAGGGAAGGACGTTGGAGATTACAGTAAAGGAAGGGGCGAAGGCGCAGATCCATTGGCCCCAGGAAGATATGAAGAGGAAGAAGAGGAGGGTCATGAGGAAGACGTAGCCGGCGGTTGCGGCGTCGGATGGGAGTCCAGTGGGGAAGTACCAGAGGAGAAAATATACAACGCTTGATACCACCGCCGCGGGTATCTCTGCTACGACTTGCGCGGTCGCGAATGCGGTCCAGCCGTATATTCTAGAGGGTAGTTCGCGGGCGGTCCAGAGAGCCATGTTTGAGTAGAATTTGGGGACTACGCCGTTGACGATTGTGGGGGGCAGGAGCACGATAAGGAAGATTGTGAAGAGCCGGTTTTGCAGGTCGGTGGTGCTGGTGCTGAGGCGGTAGAAGGTGAAGCCGTTGAAGATGCCGAGGATCACAGAGACGAAGAGTTTGGAGTAGAGGTATGAGGGGGAGCG